GGCCGCGCCTCGCGTTCGGTATTAAACTGCTTCTCCTCCTCCTCCTCCTTCGCTCCCCCGCCTGCCTCCCGCCGCGGCCGCGCGTCCCCTGCCCGGCCTTGCCGTGGGCTCAGGAGCTCCCGGAAAGGCACAAAATTGGGATGTTCCCCCGTGATGTGGGACCCTGCAGCTCGTGAGGAGCAGGAGGGGTAGGGAATCTGTCACAGGAGGCTGAACAGCTACAAAAGAAAACAAGAACCACAGACAGTAGTTTAGAAAGACATCCACGTGACTTTTTTGAACATTTAGGATCAGAAATTATCCTAAGAAAGAATGAGTGGAGTCTCAGGAGTGATCCTGAGAAAGAAATGCCAGGAGCAGCCAGCACAACCCAAGGGAGCCAGCATAGCAGCAGCCTCAGCAAGGTTGTGGGCCAGCAGAGCACCTCGTCCCAGGAAGAGCTGGCTCTTAACCGGCCATTCCCTGCCCTTGTGCTGTTCAGTGCCTTACAGGCCCTGCTCCTCAGACTCCCTCTGCTCTCCTTCCGTGTTGCCTCCTTTTCTAACCAAAGGCGATGGTGGACTGGCCTTGCCTTTGTAGCCTTAGGTCAAGCCTGGTTGCTTGCAGACAGCATGCTTTGGCCACACCTCAACTGTTGGGCTTTGTGAGACCAAAAAGTCTGCAGAGGTGGTCAGGCTAGGTTTTGTAGCACCTTGAGACTTGCGCAAACATCTGTTCAACTTTTCCCTTCTGCAGTCCTTCACTTTCTTCTTTTTTGTTTCCCCTGGCTAATTTTTTTCTTTTGGATCCATCAAATTTTTTCATTTAGCTACTTTCTACCCACTGTAAAAAAAAAAGTCAAAGTGCTAATTAAATAAAATTGTGATACTTGCTTGAGTTAACCACCATCGAACTTGTTTTTTCAGCCTTTTATCTTCTTTATTCAGCCTGTACCACCACCGGGCAGGAATAGTCTCTAAAGTGCCCAGCAATTTTGAGTAAGGCTTAGTGTGAATCAAAATTATAGTTGCAGTTCCTTGACTTGGCAACCCCCTAATCTTTCTGTGTGATTCTTTATCTGCACAATGGGAATAATAATACTTGTTTTCACTCCCTCTTTAGAGATACTTAAAAATTGTCAAGGCATGGTCCTGGGCAAATGGCTCTAGGTGGCCCTATTTCAGCAGGGGTTTGGACAAGATGACCTCCAGAGGTCCCTTCCAACCTCAACTGCCTTGCAATTCTGTGTTTACCACAGAAAGTGCGGTGAGGAGCTGACTGACAATTGGATGCTACAGGGGTGGAGGCCACAGACATACCTAGGCAGACAGAAGTCTTGAACTAACTATAGCAAAAAAAACAACACAAAGGCCAAGGTTTAAGGGCAGTTTAAGACTTAAAGGAAGGAAACAATCTGCTGTCCAGCCTACCTTTCACCAGCTCTCCCTGAGGACAGTATTCATGACCCAGAAGAGGTTAAGCTGCAAGAAGAACAGCAAGCATGTGATGAGTCTGAATGGTAAATATTAGAGAGGAGTTTTAGAAGGTACACAAGTGTAAATGCCAGCCTATGGAGTGGAAAGGCTAGAATGAATCTCCATCAAACCTTGCCTGAGCAGCTGGTGCCACCATAGGGGCAGGCACCCTTGGCCAACACCTTTCTCCAGCCTGGCAAGTCCAGCATTCCTCTGTGCAGCATAACAAAGAAATAATAAATTTAAAAAGTCATACCGTGCATGATGCACAATTCACAAGTAAGTGGCACAGCGCTGGGCCATTTTGGCTTTTTGAAACATAGTCACATGCTTTATAAAGAGCAATTCTCCATTGTGTGATGTTGTGCCAAGTCCTGGTGTTCCCAAACTTTTGCTCAGAGGCAGGTCCACATAGGGCTATCTGTTCGCAGGTGACTGCTCAGTGTGATGTAGGTGCGCTGATCCTCCACAAAGGCAGTGGCAGGGAAAACACTGCTGAGGTGTTGCTGAGGTTTGTTTTCTATTTGGAGATTTTTTTGAGAGATTTTCAACTGTGTCAACCATGAGATTGGATTTTTTTGGTTGTAATTGCTGTGGGAGAGCAGAGCTTCTGGCTGGGTGGGTTATTTGACCATGACCAGTTGTTAGGCTTTCTACCAAGGAGGTCAGTGTGATGTGGAAATGATAACCAGGAAGCGCTAGAGATGAGCTTCTTGTGTTTTTTCTGGTTGAGTACAAGATAATTGGGTAGGCAAGGTCCCCATGTGGCTTTTTAGAGCTTGTTTAAAACATTTCACAAGAAGGAGACTGTAGTTGGGAACTTCTTTGAAAGCATGATTTCTTCGAGACAGTAGTTCCATTTTTCATTTTACCATATCAATGCTTCATTTTAGACCTCTGTCTTCATACAGCAAAGGCTCAACTTGGAAATTGCTCACAGTACACACCAGGAGGAAAATCACAAGTTCGTTAAAATAGCTTTATATGCACTACATGTCTTTAGTGTCAAATTTTGGAGGTATTTAAAGAAGGATAGCTCTTCTGGTGAATTTGCAATTTACAAACTTGGGGTTTCTTACGGATTGAGGTATTCTGTGTGTGTTTTGACTTGATGGAGAAATACATGTGAAAGGTGACCGCGAATTTCAGCTGTATCTGCTTTCCCACCCTACCACTGGGCTAACAGTTGAAATATACACCTTGGTCAAATGCCCATTTACGTTGAATTTTGCCACAGCCAGAGTTGAGTGAAAACTGAAGGTGGTTTTAAGCTTGTAATGATTCTCATTTTGGGTCGCCGCTGCTTGTTCTTCCTCAGACCTTCTGCAAAAACCGAGGTTAGCTGGTTCTTCCAAGGCTGTGCTTTTGCAGTTATTCAAGGGATGGTGAAACATTGCAAAAATGTTTAAACAACTGTCTACAAAATCTGGTGTGAGCCTCACCTGTTTCCTCACTGTC